GAATATGTCAAATGAAACGTGAAAAATAACACGGGGAGACAAACCGAGCTTAGCTAAGCATACTAGGAGGACAAAGAAGCCTAAACCCCTAAAATCTTACGGGAATGTTTCCGAAAAGTAGTTACGTAAATGTTTCTTGAAAAAAGACTACAAAGAACTGAAAACTGCTAAAATAAAATGAAGCTAAAAAGCTATATAAACCATTTGTCATAAATGAGACTATAATTACAAAGGATTATTGCTCGAACACATACATCTTACTAAGGATGAAATTTAAACAGACCAGTCTATTATCTGAGATAGCAACTCTACAAAAGGTAGACGTATTAGTAACTAAGGAAACAATTTTGTAGAAAGTATGCTAAAACGCCCAATCTACAAGATGCTTCGCAACCATATTATCGTCCCTATATGAATGGAGAATGATAGTATTTGTTTATATTATCTGTTCTTAGGCAAACCCAACACTTCCTGATAATATAAGTTGTCATGGATAAGAGATAGAACGAAAAAAGCAACCCAAAATCAATATGAGTCAGCCTCTACTATGTCAAAATGCATGTTAAGGTCATTGCAAATTCTGATACCATTAAGAAGAGTAAGAGCTTCTCCTTTAGAGTTAGTACCAGGCCCATAAAAAATTGAGAAAGCCGAAATCAAATTACCCCTATTATCCCGAGGAATGCCACCTGTACTTCATAAATTATTCCTTGATGCTCAATCAGTATTTAACTTTAACTTACTCGAGGGAGGAAATTGCCATTTAATCCAGCACCCCCTGTTAGGTCAAGCCGTTTGTAACTTAGTGCCCAAGGCTTGCAAACAAAGACTATCATGCAAGGAAGGGGTTTTCTTTAGACAAAATAATAATGATAGGTCATACAACCAGTTAAGAACCTTGTGTTTACTATTTAACCAATTCATCACTTCACTGTCAAACATTGATTTGTTCCTAGCAAGCCAAATCTCCCAAATAACACAGTTAAAAACCATCATATGAGCAAATGATTTTTGAGAAGGTATTTTACCCTTTGATAGCCAAATCGAAACCAGCTGTTCCATGTTGCTTTCTCTAGAAGCAATATCGAGGATGTTACCAAAATAACTCCAAACTTATTTAGCTATCTCTCCATGCATGAAAGGTGAACTATAGATTATTCCTTTAAGGAGCTGCAGCACTGGCTTTTAGAGACCAAAGAGATGCCACAGGATTTAACATTTTTTTCAACTACCACTTTACCATGTAAAAATTCTCAAACAAAACTCTAATTTTTCTGGCGATCCATTTATTCCACAGGCTCCTCCACCTTTTAAATTTAGTAGCAGTGACTTTAATGGTCTTGTGATATGCTTTGGAGGTAAAGGTACCTATCTTCGACTCTGTGTAAAGCAATTTATCCTCTACAGTGTCCTCTAAAAATAGTAGATCAAGTTCAGTTCGTATCTGTTATGGAAAAGATAGATAAAGCGAATGGCCTTATTTTCCTTAGGCTATAGTGATATCCAGATTACCCGTAAGAGTAGGAAGTTCAGCCAATGTCCATCAAATTTGATTTTACCTACACCACCCATCCGAATGGAGCGATCCAAAAGATATCCAATATGGGGGAGAAAGGTTCTCCATACAAAAGATCCCTTCCTTCTATTTAATGTATAAAATGAAGAAGGCTCCCCATACTTTGCTTTCATAAATACTCCACATAGAAGAACTTGTCAGGTAAGACCATCCTAATTTCCCTTTTCATCACATTCATAACCTCACTGAGATTTTAACTCCCAATCCACCCTCCTAAATAGGAAAAGAAATAGACCTCCAATTTATCCAGTGATTTATGCTGTCACCATCACTGTTTTAGAAGAAATTAGTGACATGTCCTTGGATTTTAACAAGTGAAGCCTTCGTTATAGATAAGGCTCCCGTAGTGTAAATAGGGATTGAAGTGAAGACACTTTGTATTAAGGTCAGCTTCCCTCCAGCAAAGAGTAATCGACCTTTCTAGCTTGCTAATTTATTATTTACCTTGTTTTCCAAATTGACAAAATACTCAATGCGTGCTCTTCCTTTAAATAATGGCATTCCTAGGTAGGTCAACATAAAAGTGGAAGGAGAGAAGCCAGTCGAAGTGGAGATTAAACATTTCTTGTTGGGAGGCATTTTGCTGCCGCAAAGGAATCAGCTTTTCCTGAAGTTCATTGCTTGGCCACTAGCAGAAGAATACCTGTGAAGGAGAGACATCATCTTATCAATATTCTTATTACCCCGATTAAAAAAAGAAGAAGCAACATATCATCTACAAATAGAAGCTGTGAGATAGTAATGTTGGTGCGGCCAATGTAATAAGGTGTAATGGAACCTTTAGCAACCATGGCATTTAAGTTTCTGGTAAGGCCTTCCTAAGCTAAAATGAAGAGGGTGAAAGAAACAGGATCCCTCTATCTCATTCCACAAAATGATTTGAAGAAGCCAAAAGAATTGGAGTTGAGGAGTAAAGTATACCAAAAATTAGACAAATACTTGTAGATCGGCTCATACCATCTATTAGAAACCAAATCTTTACAAAACTTGTAGGAAAAAAAGCCATTCTAATCTATCGTATGCCTTCAGTATGGCCACCTTGAAGATAACATTACTCCCATGAATCTTTCTATCAATGTCATTGAACAACTCCTAAGCCAATGCCACATTCTTATGGATTAGCCTTCCCTTCACAAAACTTGATTGTTCTCTAAAGATTAGGGATAGAAGCACCGTGCTCAATCTGTTTGTGAGGAAACGAGACAAGATCTTATAAGAAAAATTACATAAACTGATAGGAAGCAAATCTGTAAAGCTGGAAGGTCTTAGACACTTAGGTATCAATACCATGGAAGTGGCAATGACACCTTTGGGAACCCCCTCTCTAAAAACCTCTTGAATAGCCAGAACCACATTTGTGGACACAACATCCCAGCAAAAATTGAAGAAAGTTCCTATGAAGCCATCGGGTCCTAAGCACTAAGCTCATCAAGTTCAAACATTACAGATTTGATCTCTTCCGATTGGGGAATAGCCATTAGAGCTTCATTCTGTACATCGGCAACCAAAGCAGGCAATATATTAAGGAATGGTTCCTTCATAGAAGTGGGTTCACTCTTAAATATGTTTTGGAAATATCAGTAGCTGCGTTGCTCATTTGAATGTCATCATTACACACTGTGTCATCCTAATGAGTAAAAGCAAACCTGGACTTCATCCCCCAATTGTGAACACAAGGATGGAAAAATGCATAATTGCGATCCCCAATTTCCAGCCATTTAACGCTTGCTTTTTCTTATTGCAACTGTTCTTCCCGATCCACTAATCTAACTAGATTTTCCTTTGTTGTAACGGACTTCCTGTAATTTTCCTATCTCCACAAAATCTGTAGCACCTTGATAATAGTATGTTCTTACGTTTCATCTTACCACAAAAAAATAAAAAATAAAAAAATAAAAAATAAAAATAAAATTATGAAGAGAGGTAACAATTACTTATAAGATGATAGCAATTTTTTCATTTGTTTTTACATAAAAAACCATGCTCTAATTTTTAATTTTTTCTTCATGAATAATATTTTAATTAAGTTTTCTTTATTTTCATTAAATATTCACCCTTCAAATCTATCAATCAACAATTCAACATATCAAACATATTTTAATTTTTTTTTAATAGTTACTCTGATAATCGAGTAAATTATAAATTAGTTCTTTTATTTTTGAGAAAAAAATTAATTAATCTCTTTTGTTTCAAAAACTAATTATTTAGTACCTTATTCAGTATTAATATGCTTAATTTAATAGTAATTTATTTCATAAAATGTTATATTTTCTCGCAAATTCTTCCATATTTTTACTTATTTTATTTTCTATTTCTTAAAATAAAAACATCAAAATAAATTGGAAAGAAGTAGAAAGAACTAAGTTTTTTTAAAAAAATATGTAGAAATGGAATAAATATTTTTTGAAAAAAAAGGACTAAATAATTCATTTATCTAAATTAAAAAGACTAATTCATAATTTACTCCTTGTAACCTCATCTATTTTTTTTAACCGACACATACTATTAGACTGAGAGATAGAGTTACAAAAGCCCATTCCCACCAACAAAATTTGAGTCCAATGTTAATTGTTAAGGAAGGCATGTAGGATCGCTAGACTGGGCAACTTCAGAGCACAAACACAAAAGAATCAGGCCCAAATCAAGTTCATTGATTTGACCCAATCAACTAAATCCATCTTGTCAAGGGGATGGGCAATACGTTGGTCTTTCGGAAAGCAAACTTTGTTATTGTTTTCTTGTTCGTTATCTTGGAATTAACTTGCGACAAATATTAATTAGTAACGTGCTTTATTTTTTTTATTTTTATTTTTTTGAGTTTGAATCTTAGAAACAACATTGAAACATTTTCATTCCTTTGAACTCATCATATCGATATAAATGGTGGGACTTTAAAATGATTTGAAAAGTGTGTGGTGGATAATGGTAGATACTTGACAATGTTCTTCAATGCTGTTATAGGCCTCAGATTCAGTACTAACAAAATAGGATCAAGTCGATCCAAAGCCTGCAATGAGGCCCAATAATCAATGTTAGGCTACATGGTTCTTGTTAAGAACTTTCCTTGCAAAATATCTCCACCTGAAAATCGAGAATTTTCTAGAACTTCCGGATATGGTTGTCTGAACTCTGCAACCCCACTTAATCCGACGAATGTCAGAAACTTCTGACGAAACCTTTACAGTTGTCAATATTTCTCTTCCTCTTTCTAGAACTTTCCTTTCCTCTTTCTTCTAAAGCTCACTTTCCTTTCTCTACTTAATTCCTTGACGCTACTTCAGAACTTTCTCTGCAAAAAAAAAAAAAAAACACTTAAAGACTGAACCCAAAGCTTCAAACTTTTAAAACCTAAGTAATTAAGCACTCAATTAACTTGAGTTAAGACATCGAAGACTGGAAATTTCTGAGAAAACAAGGGTTTTAAATGGAGGGAGTTGTAGTGAAAGAAGAGGAGACGGTGACTTGTACTGGAGGTGGAGCTTCTCCATCTTCATCATCTTCAAGTTTCTCTCCACATCCAATGGAGGGGTTACATGAAGTTGGTCCACCTCCATTTTTGACGAAGACATATGAAATGGTGGAAGACCCATCGACGGATACGGTGGTTTCGTGGAGTAGAGGTCGCAATAGCTTCATAGTTTGGGACTCTCATAAATTCTCTACTACTTTGCTTCCGAGATATTTCAAGCACAGTAACTTCTCCAGCTTCATTCGACAGCTCAACACTTATGTAAGCACTGCATAACCCCCCCTCTCTCCCCATCTTACTTAATAAATGTTCATATGAGGGCGATAGTTAATCTTGTATGGTGAGTTCTAATTATGATATTTCTAATTGAACGGAAGTTTGTTTTTAACCTTGTGACCTTCCAATTGCTTAATTGAAGTGGATTATCTTATTTTGAGGATTGAATTTCTCAATTTTGCATTTTGGAGTTTATGGGGTCTATGTTTTGCGATTGCAGATGCACTGTTTGTGAAATTGTCAATTTGTTAATTTAATTTAGGTTTCTTGCTTGGTATGTTAATTTTGATTGGTTATGTATGGGCAAATGCGGTGCAATTTTGTTTTCCTTTATCCTGTTTGTTTGTTGATCACTCCATGTTAGTTTCAATGTCTATGTTAATTTTAATTAAGTATCAATCTCCCTGTTAATTTTAATACAAAGTTTCCTTTCTTTTAATCTTCCTGCTTCAGCGAACTATCTTAACTATGTGTTTGCTGGTTTTGCTAGTCATGTTGTTATGCTGTTTTCCAAGTTATGCTGAACACAATTTTGTTGCATTGTGATGAAGGGTTTCAGGAAGGTTGATCCTGACCGGTGGGAATTCGCAAATGAAGGATTTTTGGGAGGGCAGAAGCATCTACTGAAGACTATCAAACGGAGAAGGCATCTCCCACAGACTACGCAACAACAAGGTGGGGAAGCTTGCGTTGAGATAGGACAATACGAATTCGAAGGAGAGATTGAAAGATTGAAAAGAGACCGAAATGTGTTAATGGCTGAGATTGTAAGGCTTAGGCAGCAACAACAGCAGTCGAGGGAACATATTACTGCAATGGAGGATAGGTTACTAGGCACAGAGCGGAAACAACAGCAGATGATGGCATTCCTTGCTAAAGCTCTTAACAACCCATCCTTTATCCAGCAATTTGCACAGAGGAGTGTGCAGAGGAGAGAAGTAAGAGGTGTTGAAATTGGGCGTAAGAGGAGACTCACAGCAAGCTCAAGTGTTGAAAATTTGCAGGAAGAAGTTGCATCTGTGGCAGCAGGTGGCGGCCAATATATGGATTACTTGAATCAGGATTTGGCAACTATGGAGAACGAGATGGAGACACTTTTGTCAGCTGCCTTGGACAATGAATCAAGCAGTGATATCAAGGACCCAATAGCAAGTTCTATGCTCACAAAAAGTGGTGGTAGCAATTTGGATGCTGTTAACGAGACAATTTGGGAGGAGTTACTTACTGATGATTTACTTTCTGGGAATCCTTATGAAGAAGTTGTTGTGAGTGATGAGCCAGAAGCTGATGTGGAAGTTGAGGATTTGGTTGCGAAACCTGTGGATTGTACTGACGATTTTCAGGACCTTGTGGATCAAATGGGTTATCTCAGGTCAAACCCCATGATTTAAGACATAGCTGTTATCAAATGATTTATGGGAGTTTGTATGGTTTTTAGTTGGTCTCTGCAACTCCATTCCTGTTCCATAATGGTATAGCTACCAATCCTGGTTTTGAGTTCTATTTTATTTAGATTTCTGTGTTGCTTGTTTGTGACTGAGGACCACATTGTTTATCGTACAGGAATGGTGGAAGTTGCAAGGGGACCAACAAATGTTATTGTTCTTCTGTATCCTTCTTTAATTACAATGAAGTTCCTTAATATTTCTTGATTTGTTTAATTAGTTTCAGCCCTTGAGATTCCTTTGATTCTTCTTGCTCAATTTTGTGCAGGCCGGCTCGCCAAAGAAGATTTTTTCGGAGGGCTGTTCGACCTTGACTAATCTGATGAGTTCCAGCCTCTGCTGCTTTACACGTTCGCATTCTCAACTTCTATCGTTCACAGTTTCCTTTGGGTACATTCCACTGTTATACATAATTATATAAGAAAAAACTTGTGTGTATAGTGTCTATGATGTATATAAATATATGAGACATATTGCTCGTTTTAGGTATTAAGTAATTCTTGTGTAGTGCGCTAAAATGGTGAGATTTCTTTGGATTGGGACAGACGGCTCCTAAATATTGTCATGAGTGTGAGTCTGCCCAGCTTCTCTGACAATTACAGTTGGTTCTGTAATTGTCTATTCAATGCTTTTGGAAGCGTAGCAGTGCATTTTGCTCTGATGGAGTTCAGGTTCCTAGTTCAGATCCCATGGTTACGCTAATTGAAAAAAAAAACTTGCTTCACATGACTATCGGCATTTTAATGCATTTCAAATTTCAATTAATAACACCCTTGGGAGTATCATCGTAAAGCTGCCAGACCTTGCATTGTCTGATGAATTCCAGAATCTGTTGCCTTTATATGGTTTAAGCCTGCAGCTTATTGTTTCTTGTTTACTTGAGTTGATTGAATGTAGATTAGATACTCTGTTTCTTGTTGGATTATACTGATTCCCAGATGGTTTGAGAAGCATGGAGGGTGTAGTGCTCCTGTACGTCCATATGATTATGTAGGATATCATGGATGTTGTGTTATGCGAAAGCACTTATTAGGGCTCCAGTGGTTTTGATTACGGTTGAGAACGGATACGAGTTAGTGATTTAAAGTTATTGATATCTAGGTGAAAGTTATTGATATCTAGGTGCTGTTTGCAGTGGATGCGGTTGTTTGTGCAATGCTTTAAGGCCTTCCATGACAGGTTGACGTAATTTGAGTATGAGACCTGTGAAGTTGGAATGGAGTAAACTTAAGACGTTAGAAATTGCAGTTGGAAATGGAAACCAACTAGTCCTATAAGATAATGACTTCTATACAAGGGAATGGCACCATGTCAATTGTGGTTCTAGGACGAAGATGTTTCTGTAGGATGCCCATAAGGACTTAATTTTTTAGATGTCTAGCTGAAGTCATCATTAGATAGTAAAAATACGCATCCTGCAATTTTATGTGATGACAGGTTTTGAGGAGTGGCGACTGGCCCGTTTGGGTATGGATTAACTTTGATGCACTTCTTGAACACCTGTCGTTTCAATAGATTCATTTGGTTGCACTTGGTCTAAAAGTGATGCTGATCAAGAAGCTCCGTCTTGTTGCCCGAAGAAAATAGAATTTTATTGGCCTGTGCTGAGGACAGCAAGTTCTTCGGTGCTGCTGGTTGAGCGGGGAATCAAGGAGCGCTTTATCCTTAAAATTAGAAAACAAGAATAGAATGTTAAAAATTAATGTCATTACCAATCCTTTTCAGGGTCATTTAATATTCGATGCGATGATATAATCATGTCATAGTTTAACGTGGACGTGCAATATTAAACTAATTTTCTTGACTATAAAAGACTGAGACAGAAAAATAAAAAAAGTTCTTGAAAAATATTGTACAAGGACATGGGCATCCAATAGTCACCAATATACTGATTCAGAAAACGGACGAAGACAGTGTGCCCAAAAAGATGCTTTGAGAGACATATAAACTTCTCCAATATTCCCAGTTCCCACTTTTTGATACGGCTACCTGCAATAATATTTAAACATGTAAAACGTAACCGAAATTAAAAAGAGAGGTATCTTCTGTTACAGTTGATCAAGTGCTCACACATATATACACACACACACATATATATATATATAAAGTATGTGCAGTTAAGAAAAAGAAGTATTCTAATCTATGCCTTAGGTTTTATTTATTTGACTAGATTAATGACGATATTTTTTCTTTAATCTAACTGTTACATTTCCGTTCGTTCATTATGTATGTATTTAGTCTACTACTATGCATATAGGGGTATAGGTTTTGTTTACAGGGGCACCTATGGTCACCATCATATGTTGTTGACGACAACTTGTGTTATGCTAATTTGAGTTGGACTGGACTGTTCATAAAAAAAAAAAAAAAAAAAAAAAAAAAAAAAAACAAGAAGCCAAACCAATGTCTAGTTTAGGTCCAAATGACAATTCAGTCATAAATCTTTGACCAAAGGTCCAAATACCCAATTCAAAACCAATTAATTGGTAGCCTCCCATTTGGTTGGAAAGATATGAAGATAGAACGACGAAGACAACGATTTTTAAGGTTATCATTGAGTAATGTAATCATAAAGCGTGAGCTCTTTGAAAAGATTGCGTTATTGCTGAACGCATTAAAAAGATTTGGTTTAGCACCAAAAAGATACTATCAATACAATATCAAAAAAGATTTGAAACATTGTAGCACATAGTGGAAATCTGCAAGGAAACATGAAGCATGACAACATTAAAAAAAGAAAAAAGAAAAAAAAAAAAGAAAGGAGAAGTGATCTACTAAAAAGGTCATAAAAGAATATAAAGTCTATAAATACAAGCTATAACCAACGAAAAAACACATAATACAACATACAAATAAATTCAACTTGTAATTTGTAAACAACTTTCAAAATATTATATCAAATTTTAACACACTTGAAGTTTATTAAACTATAACTTATAGGTAGTTAATAAGTAGGTTTTAATTTATAGGCTGATAGATTGGTTTTTGATTCTCGTCATCAATCTATCTTTTGTGATTGTGATTTATGAGAGCTAAATCCTTCAATAATTAGCATGTCATAACTATCTATTTACAAGCATTATCCTTCGTCATCAATAAATATGAGTTCTTTCTTGTAAGATTGCTAAGTTTACAATCTTATTTTCCTTGTACATAAGTTGTTTAATCTTATAATTTCAGTTTGAACATTGTTATTTAGATTACAAATTAGCTTAATAGATTTGGATTGTCCATTTAAAATAACTACCATTGTGAATAATCACTCTTGCAAACTTACAGACTCAATCTGTGTGGGCATATTGTAGAATTCGCTCGAAACTTGCAAATTGATTTCAAGTTGTTTGATTTAGTAATTTCATCTTTTATTTTTATTATATTTTTGTACAAAATACTTTTAATTTAGGCAGGCACAAAAAAACTTGCAAAATAGAATGGTGACAACAATGGGTCCTTAATATATTTTTACCACTGTTGTTGCAAAACAGATTGGCGACCAAATGGGAGTACTAATTTAGATGGCACTAAAGTCCCTTCCAACATGGGACAATGATGATGCAAATCATTCTCTTTGTCATCACTACATTTTTGCCAAATAAAAAAATGGGCCTAGAATAGCCTAGGCACACTAGGTTTGACGAGTCTAGACTTTCTTAGAAAAATAAAGTAAATTATAAATTACTCTCTTTTATTTCAAGAAACAAATTAATTAGTCTCTCTAATTTTAAAAACTAATTATTTATTTTTTTAACGAGCATTGATCATGACTAATTTAATATTTTTTATAAAATATCTTTTTTCTCATCAATTTTTTCATATTTTTGCTTACATTTTATTCTTTTTCTATTTATTAAAATAAAAAATCAAAGTAAATTAAAAAATAGCAAAAAGGACTAAACAATTAGTTTTTTTTTGAAACTAGAAGGACTAATTAATTCACTTTCAAAGCGAGAGGGACTCATTTATAATTTCTCAAAAAATAATAAAAGAAAAAATAGAAAAAAAAACTCTAAACCAACCATAGGTGTACACATATAAATACCATACATTCACACACATTAGAGGAGACAAAAAAAAAATCTAGGAGCCAAAGTAAAAAAATAAAAAAATGAAAAAAAAAGGAAAGAAAACAAAAAGAGAAGAAGATAGTAATGAGATGACCCCTTCCTAACCCCTTATGATGACATGAGCTGAACCATTATCATTGGTCAAAGAAGACTATCCAAATGCTACCAATCTGCCCTCATTCTGGGCAGTAATGCGTTTTAAAGTGCCTTGTCTCACGTGCCTCTTTGTGGCTTCTATCTTTGCTTTGTTTTTGCATGATTTGTTTCCTGAACTTTTGATTTAGGTATTTAAACCTTTGAGTTTTTGATTCTTGATTTAATTTTCATTCGAATTTTATATATTGCATAATTGTTTTATTGATTCATCTTCTAATAATATTAATTATATTACTAATATAAAATTTAGATGATTTATTGAATTAAAGTTACTTGATTTTGGGTTTAATTAAAGACAATTGAATTTATAGTCTTTGATTTCATTTAACATATTTAATAAGGCTTTTAATTTGATTTCTTAGTTATTTGTGTGTGTCTAAAATATAAGTCGACTAGGATTAGGAGTATGTGATAGTTTTTAAGATTTATCCTATTTTTATTTTTAATAACAATAATAACAAAAAATATTATTTTAAATCGAGATTAAAGGTGATTGATGTATTATATAATATCATTTTTATTTTTCATATGAAAAATCTTGGAGGAATTTTTTGGTCAACGATGAAGATAGTAATAGGCTAGCATTTTTTTTCCTTATGGTGAGAAAATTAAATTAGGCCAATACAAATCAATAGGGCAAGGATCGTGTAGATAGCAATTGACTATTATATTTTCTATATGGTCATCTTTACCTAATTTGTTTATGTTTTGCACTTAACTCATTTATTTAACGTGATGTTAGTCTTAGTCATTTTAGATGAGTAGGTTTAGGACTTAAGATCAATTAATTTTAATGACGAAGCTTTTTCTTATTATTATTATATTATAGTTTTATTTTTATAATTTTTTTTATTTTTTTGTTAGTGCCACTAATTTTGTTTTCTTCTAGATTTGAATCTATATTAGATATTGGGTTTTGGGCCAAGTTTCACTATTTTAAAGTGGCATGACACGTTGATATAAGTTTAAAGACCATGTCCATATTATTAGGATTTTCTATCATAGATTCGTGATGTTTATTTTTATTAATCTAAAGTCCAAACATATTATTTATTTTTAAATATTTTATTTGGACTTGGGGTTTCTTAATTTGT